CCGTTTTTCACTTGCTCGGTTTGTTTCAGCGACATGCGAACACTGCCTGCGCGTTCCAGGCGCTTTCTGACTTAAACTGGAGAACCGGCCTTTCCAGTGAATAGTGCAAATCCTCACGCGACTTCTCGCCGTATATTGATGACACACACACACACTCACGAGCGCTCACACAGACGTGCAAACCGTCTTGCACGAATCTATTCGTCTGGGCATGCAGTAGTGAATTACCACAGCGGCGGGGATAACTCTATATTTTACGATGGGGATAGCGGGAGAGAAAGAGAGAGAGAGAGAGGGGAGGGGGGAGAGAAGAGAGGAGGGGAGAGAGAGAGAGAGAGAGAGAGAGAAGTGCAGCGGTCCAATAAAGGAAGGGGAAGGCAGCACCCCGCGATGCACACACACACACACACACACACACAACGAACCGCAGGGATTGCCGGGGCGACGAACCAGAGACGAGTCCACGGCTTCCTTCGCTTGCTTCGCTAAACCGAAAAGCGTTCCCCTGCACTCTGTTGGGTTGCCGCAGCTGGTCGCATTCGCGATCAATTCGCCTCCAGGTTGTTCGAAAACATGCCTCGTCCCTTTCCAGGATAAAGGTTGAAGAAACGCCGGTCTGGCAGCGAATGATGAAATGCAAGCGAGATATCATTATCGTCCTCTGCTCCTCCGCGAGGGGTGGGGCGGGCGGAGACACTGAGAGATACCACCACCCGCAAGCGGAAAGGGGGGGGGGGGGGGGCGCTCGGAAAGCGAGAGCGAAGGAGCGCCCTGCAGACAGCTCAGGCTGTGTCTCTGGTACCGCCCGTACCGCCCGCCCCAGAAGCAGCTACCCCTTTCTCCTTTCGGCAACATTTTAGAACCCGCGCGGCGGAAAGCCGCGGAGCTTCTTCATCCACTCCACTGCCGCACTGGAAAGCTCGCTGTCTGCAGGGTGGGCCTAAGGGATTGGACAGAAACGGCAGATAGTCTGGTGAGGGTTGGCCCGCTCATTTAAACAGAGACTTTTGATTCGCCGTCAAGCAGACCAACATCATGTGGCCGCACTGGTCGTGTTATTCGGGTGCAGGCGCGGCGTTTCGGGCCGGGCTGTACCGCCCACCCCCTTGTGCTTAGTTGTGCTTATTTGTCCAGCTTGCCGATGACCCCGCCGGCCCCGCCCGCCCCGCCCGTGTCGTCTCCGTCTTTTCTTACTTGACTAGTTTTACTCCCACGACCGCGGCTGCAGCGGGGCGCAGTCCCCGGATGGGCAGAGAGAGAGAGAGAGAGAGAGAGAGAGAGAGAGAGAGAGAGAGAGAGAGAGAGAGAGAGAGAGAGAGAGAGAGAGAGAGAGGAGGAGAGAGAGAGGAGAGAGAGAGAGAGGAGAGAGAGGGGGGCAGAGGGGAGGGCCGCGATTGTTTACCCAGGGCGGAACGCGGCGCAGTGAGTAGGGACGCGTGGGGAAAAAAAGACCCTGCAAAACTTGGAGTAATTGCTGCATGGCATTACTACGGGCGGTCCAAAGATAACCATGAGCGTAGCGGAGACAGTTTAGCATTGTGTCTCGGACTTCTCGACCAAGACACTGTTTTCCATTTTGTGCGTGCCTGCATAGCCCGTCCGTTCAAAGGAAAGGAAACGTATCGGACTGAGACACGGACGTCGAAGAAAGGGCTCTGTTTTTGCGCAGGCGCGCCCCGGCCGCCGTTACACAGTTATTACAGCTCTAATTGTGGCTTGCTGTGGGGCCGCCCCAACGAGGGTGGTGGCCCCCCCCCCTCCCGGCCGCCGGGCCACGACAAGGCCACCCTTTTCACCGCCCTCGCGGAAACAGCCCCCAGTCTGTCCCCTTCCTCCATTGTGTCTTCATAATCTAGCCTCGCACCCTTTGTCTTGTTGATACCAGCAACGGGATTCACTTTTCAAAACGCCCCGCCGCTGGGACGGGTCGGGATCATCGCCCGCAAAAAGCACCGCCTTGCGACGCCTTGCGACGCCTTGCGATGCACCCCACTTGCTGCCAAACTCCGGCCGGGTGCGGAGGAGTTTTCGGGAGTTTTGGCCGCGCGATACGAGATTGTGAACTTGCTCGTCGGATCCACTCCCTGGCCCAGCTCTCGCAGCCACCCACCTCACTCCAGTGCTCCAGTTTGAACCTCGCTTGAATGGGCCGACGTCGCAAAAGTTTTTAACTGGGTCTGCGTGGAAATATGACTTTCATCATCTTAAGCCCCCTTGCACCTCACTCGGCCGCGCGCGCGCGCGTGTGTGTGAGTGTGTTTGTGTGTTGATGTAAGTGTATAGGTGTAAGTGTACGTGGGCGTGCATGTGTAGGTGTTTATATGTCGGCGTGTGTGTGTGGGAGGGGGAGGGGAGAAGGGAGCTAAGGGTTTGACATGACTCATGGCCCGGGCCTGCCAGGGGGGCTGCGGGTGGATTTAAGAAGGGCTGCTTTTGAAAATGGCCTGGAGTGAGAAGGAACGTCACAGACGGTCTTCGAAAGACGGAGGCGCTGGAAGGGAGGAACACAAGGAAAATTTCGATTGCCAGTCGCGCTTGTGTAAGAGTGTGTGAGTGCGTGGTAGTTGGGTCGGGAATCAGTGCGAGTGAGAGAGACAATGAGAACCAGAGGAAGCGGAGGCAGGGAGCTGCTAGGGGACACGGCTACAAGAACCCCTGCTGTCTAGGCAAACACCCACGCCCACACGCACCAACCGCAATATGGAGAAACAGAGGGCCCTGGGTCCTTGTGGGGTAGTAGAGCAGCCTGCTGTGATGCTAATCAGAATCCGGGGCTGTTACTCGTGTTATGTTGATGGTCAAGAACAACTAAGGGGTGGCTTAATTACACTGGGGCCATAAGAAAAGCCCGTCTAAAAGTTTGATGAAGCCGCGAAGCCGGGCCCACCTTTTAGCCTTTTAGTGCGTCGATAGCCACAAACCGCCTTCGCAGCGACTCACTCATTTCATCGCTTTCTCAGACACACCGTTCCGTGACGTCAGGACATTCTTTTGCGACTCGTCCGTCCGCCGATTTATGCAAATGGGCCAGCCGCCTGATTCATAGACAGAAAGGCCAATTTTCTCTCGCCTCGCGGCCTGCTGGCCTGGCCGAGGGTCTGGCCTGCCTGGCGCACCGGGCAACCTTCGTCACACTGGAAGGTCGCCCGACACTCACCACACGGCTTTAACAACTGCAGATTTCAGCAGGCAGGCAGGCAGGCAGTCCCCACAAGCCTGCCAGCGCCGCTCGTTCCAAAGACACCGGTCGTCCGAAATTTCGTTACCGTGACACCGCTGGCTCGTTTGCCCGACCGGGCCGAACTTTGGTTCTTTCGCCGAGAGACGAAAACTCGGCCGGAGAGGCGCGCATCCCCCGCGACGTTTCTCGGCCTGCCTCTCGGCGGGGGCCTCGCGGGGGGTACCGCCCGGCCACCCCCTGCGCCCCCCGCGCCCCCTGGGCCCCCGGGGGTCAATCAAGTCGTACAAGGAGGCCGTGGCGTCGTAAAGCACCCCTGACGCAGCATCCCACGTGAACGCCCCGCCCCGCCCCGCCCTGACTAGCATCTCCGCGCTTCCCTCTTTCGCAGTGTCGTTTCGGCTCATCGCCCAGTGCAGTGGAGGGGGCGTGGTTGGGGCGGCGTCGCTCCCATCCAGCACCCCTTGCCAGCATTAGGCCTGCCCGTCGGCCTGGCCCGCCTAGTTACGACAGAGTCGCGCAGCGGCTCGTTTCGGCCGCGATTTCGCAGTGGGATCGCAGCAGAGGAAGCGTTAAACGGAGTTGAATCACTGCTGCGGGGTGGACGAATGAGACTCCTCCCTGACAGCGGTCGATATCCGCGGACAAAAGCCCGGCGGTGTCAACGGCACGGTTTGCGCGGTGTTCGTCAAGGTCATACACTGCACCGACGCCCCGCCCGGTATTACTTCGGATATTGGTCCCGGGGCGGGGCGGGGCGGGGCGGGGCGGGGCGGGGCGCACCACGCGTTACCCTGCAGGCTGACTTCCGAAAGGCGCGCTCCGTCGCTCTCTCTGTCTCTCTCGCTCCCCGACGGGCCGCCGCATGAGCGCGAGAGAGACAGAGCGACGAAAGCGCGCCCTGCTCCGAATCAGCCCGCCGGACTACATTCGCACGCCGCCGCGCCTATTAGAATATGGTTGTCACGTAGCGGGGGGCGACGCCGCGGTCGAAACTCGTGTGTGTGTGTGTGTGTGTGTGCGTGTGAGTGTGCAGCGTGAGTGTGAGGCAATAATAAGAGAGATCGCTTCGAGCCACGCGGCGTGTGAGGAAATGATAATCACAATAATAGTAATAGATGCATGGAATAGATTGGTCCGCCAGATACCCCAGCGCCTGCCAAACGCTGCGTGTGCGTGATTTCGTGTTAAAAAACAATGCGCCATTAGTGGAGTGGTCAGACCTCGGCGGGGCCGGCTTGCCCCACTTGAAGTTGTCCTCTGCGACGGCCGGCCCGGCCCGGCAGCACCCACCTGTCT